GGTTTTTCTCCGGTACCGGGAACCGAACTCACGACCTTGCGCTTGCCAGGCAGGCGCTTTTGCCGCTGAGCTAAATCCCCAGCCCCTATGTGGTACATTTTTAAAGTGAAGTTATAGTTGAAGATTTCAATTTCTAAATTGTATAAATTGGTTCATATTTTGCTGTGTCATTTAAAACATTTTATGCTATCTTGGGCAGTATTTGTGTTCTAATCAGATTATGAGCCCTTGAGATTAAGGAACCTAGCTAGGTTCCAGCAAAATTTTAGGATATATTTGTGGGCTGGGGTGTAGCTCAGTGGTAGAGCATGTGCCTAGCATGCAGAGAATGCTGGATTCAATCTGTAGTAGCCCCGCCTATCATCTTTAACTACAGCACACTGAATTAAAGCAGTACTGTAGGGAGGAGGGCACAATATGAGAATTTCTAAAATATTCTTCCCTCCCCTCCTCTTTCTTTTCTTCTCTTCCTCCCCACCCCCTTTTTTTTGGTCTTTTTGAGGCAGGGTCTTGCTATGCAATTCAGGCTGGCCTTGAGCTCACTTTGTAGCCCAGGCTGACCTGTAACTCGCAAAGATCCTCCTGCCTCAGCCTCCCCAGTGCTGGGATTGCAGGCGTGCCCCACCACACCTGGCTCTCGAGTCCTCCTTTTTAATTAGGGAAATTTTCTAGGCCAGGTGTGTTGGCAGCACATGCCTGTAATCTTTGCACTTAGGAGCTTGAAGCACGAGGATTCCCAGGAGTTTGAGGCCAGCTTGGGATATATAATGAGTCCAAGGCCAGTCTGACCTATATAGTGAGACCCTGGCTCAAAAAAAACCAGCCAACCAAACAAACTGAAAAATTATTTACTAATGTATAAAAACTATTGAGGAATAGTACTGTATAGTGATTACTATATACCCACTACTCATTTCAACAGTTTTGTACATTTTGTGCTTTTTTGAGACAGGATCTTGCTGTGTAGTTCAGGGTGGCCTTGAACTTACTATGTAGCACAGGCTGGCCTTGAATTTGCAGCAGTCTTCCTGCCTCAGCCTCCTTAGTGCTGGGATTATAAGTGTGCACCACAAAGCCTGGCCATTTTGCTGCTTTTTAAAGTCTTTTTTCTTTTTGCCAAACTATGGGTGTTGTAGACGCTCTAATACTTTATTGTAAATATTTTGAGTGTGAGTCTTTTAAAAGTAGGATATTCTCCTATAATCACAGTACCATTTAATATCTAATAAAATCAGTACTATTTTTCTAATACAGAGATCTGGTCAATATTCAGGTTTTTCCACTTCTCCTTATAATGTCTTTTCTCTCCTTATTTTCTCCCAATCAAGACTTACACATTGAATTTGGTTCTGTTGCTATAGTCTCTGTAATCTGGAATTGTCTCTCCTGTTTCTTTTGTTACAGCAATATAACTGAAAGACTGATACAGGCAAATACACATTAGAGTTTTGATTATTTAAAAATTTCAGCACTGTGATTCCATGCAGAAAACATACAGATTTTAGTAATCATTTGTTCACTTTATGCATCATTTTATCTTTTTTGGAGGGGTGCTTAGGATTAAGGATGTAACACCTTGGGCCTTCACGCTACATCCCCAGCCCTTTTTATTTTTTATTTTTTTTTGTCTTTTTGAGACAGGGTCTCCTTGTTTCTCGGCCTTTTGATTAAGATCAAGTGTCGAAACAGGGTCTTGCTGTGCAGTTCAGGCTGACTTTGAGCTCACTTTGTAGCCCATGCTGGTCTCAGACTTGCTATGATCCTCCTGCCTCAGCTTCCCCAGTGCTGAGATTATAGGTGTATACCCCCATGCCCGGCTTTATTTTTTATTTTACATATTTTTATTTTACATTTAGAATTTTCTTACATTAGTAAAAAAATACAATCATACTACTTACTGAATGAAGAAGTAGCTTTTTTGGGAGGGTTACCTGAAAAGATGAAAAAATATTTAAAAACAAACAAAAGAAAAAGGAAATTTTATATTCACCTGTTTCTTTTTTTTTTTTTTTT